CCAATAGAGTAAAAAAAGAAAGTCTATTCATTAAAACAAAAACCATAAACAGAGAAAAAACTATCTTATATAAGCAAAGGTAACACACAAAGTGTACATATATATATAAACCTTCTCAGCGTATTCTTTGGCGTATTGCTCAGCTCTCTTGAAAATAAGCTTCCTGTTCTCAACACCCTTCTTCTTAGCAGCTGCAGCTTCCTGTTTCTTAGCCAATGCCCATTCCTCTTCCCTCTTCATCTTCTTTAGCACAGACTCTGGAACCACCATCTTGGATTCGGCCATTTTCTCCTACATAACAAAGAAAAAAACATAACCTTATTTAACCTAAACAGTAAATAAACAAAAAAAGACAACCTTTGAGCAATGCAATAAGCAGAAACATCAATGAAATGACTGAAACAAAACAGAAAGACACAAAGTATTTTTTTTTTAGATTTCTTCTGTCTAATCTATAAGTGAAATAACTATAACAGAACCTTCACAACTGAGATTATCTACCGAGATGTATACAAACCTATGAAAGACAACTATAACTGAAAACAAGGAAATGTCTATGTCTCGAGACGAAAGGATACGAGGAAGAAGATCGAAGAAAGCTTACTTTCAACGGTAGATCGATAGCGGCGCAGAGAGGGAAGAAGAAAGACAAAGGAGTGAAGAGTGGGTTTTAGGGTTTTAATTCAAAACCCTATTATTTGTTTTATTGGGCCTATCATTAGATGGCCTCGGTTAAGTTGGGCCTAATAATCATCAACATATATAATTGTACTCGTATGAAAAAAAAAACATATACCGTGTGTCGAACAAAAAAAAAGAAGCAAAAGTGTGACAGAAGTGAGAAAAAGTATTAAATAAATCTCTTTTCGTTGTTCCTACAAATTCGCCTGGGTACCACATGAGTGATCCAAATAAATGGTATGTGCAATCTATTTGGTAAACCATAGGTCAAATAAAATACGGTTTATGTTGAAGTTAGTTACCTGTCATTAGAATAATTTAAAACATGCGATATTGTTACACTAACTTAATGGTCTAGTTCTAGAAGAAAATAAAGAGAGAAAAAGTTTTAGTAACCGTAAAGCAAAAAGAAAGAGGTATAGTGTGTTATACGATGAGTGCTTGCCAGATTCGCCCAACTTCTTTTCTCTCCATGAAGAAGACTACTCCCCCCCAAAAAGGAAATAAAAATATCAATCCTCTTCTAGAACCCTTATCTTATTCTTCTCTTTTTAATTATTAGTATCGCTTTTTATACATTCATATTCTATACAACATGTAATGTCTATCGAGTAATTAAAAATCAATCTACTTCATTGCAGCTCTCTTTAACGAATCAACCTTTTTTGAAGAATCACAACAGTCTCTTCGCTCTACTTGATTGGAAATAAAAAGAAAAAGAAAAATAAAGAAATGAAAGTAGATACTTTTGGTTATCGACAAAAAATAATCATGAAGTTGTCTCCCTTTTTATTAACGAACACTATCGTCAACGTTAGTTTCTTTGGCTGATTATTGATACGAATATGCAGTAGATAAACATGTGAGCCAGAACGATATACGATGCAAAGAAAATCCAAGTTACTAGATTACCTACGACGGTGACTCGAGGATTGTTGTCTTTCACTACTCACTAAACAACAATTACTTATTCTTCAGAATACAGAAGAAGAAACTACATACAATATGATTCAGTAATAATAATAACAGTAATAACAATAATAAAGGATAGTTGACAAGAAAAAAGACAATAATGTGATGACAATGGACCCAGCCATTATCAGTGTACGGCCCTATTATTATTTTCCTTTCCCATACTCATCCACTAAATTCATTTTTTTTTTCAATTTGGCTATGTTCAGTAACGTCAAATTTTTCTTGAAACCAATATAATGACAATTCTCTTAAGAAAACCACATATAATTAACATCTATCAAGAACATCTAAGTAATCATCACCCTTTTCCCCTCCCTTTCAAATGGACATCACCAGTTTTGAATCTATCTCAAGCTTGAATCTTCTCTATATATCTAGTATATATCGTTTCTGCGGTGGATATATATATTTGGTAAGAAAATAGGTGAATTTATCACTAGATTTACTTGATGTTCATTCTGCGGTGGATACTGAATTAGTATTTTTGAAAACAATTACTTTTAGTTGATCATGCCGTGATGTAACAGTTAAACTGTGTATGAACCTTACCGACACTGGCTTATGGTTACCCTGGGCTTATTGGCAGAGAAAAAGACGAAAAAAGAAAAAGACAAGATTGTAAATTTTATTTTTCTTGGATTCCATTTATTTAATGGGACGAGAAAGGTAATCATGAACGACCATAATCGTGAGAATGAAACAAAAGTATTCTTCTGAACGAAGCCATATATAAATACGTATAACTGTAACGATTCGCATGCATACAAAACAAATTATTTCCTTTTTGCAAGCGGTACGTATAGTCTTGACTCTTGATATAATTTTTTTTTTTTGAGTAATTGACTCTTGATATAGTTACGTGATTTCTGTAGTGTACAACATGCGTTCAATTAATTACCTATACATGACAAGTTTTACGACTGACTAAATCAAGTTATATATTTTCAGTAATTCTTTAACGTACGAACCTCGATAATTTTTTGTTGTTTAGTAATCTTGGCATTTGGCATGAAATTCATGTGGAATCATTATGGTCAAGAGAAGAGATGACTTGTGTGAGGCTGTAAGTCCACGAGACGTACCTTTACGTCGGTGCATGTCATAGTCGACGTGTCACCGTACCGAAGACAAACAAGTCTGATATTCTAATGCATCCATGAGACCTTCTAGAAGACTATAATGCAACTTCCCTCACAACATTATATAATGTAATGAGATGAGACGTATACAAACACAAGATGATATCTTATAACTTTTAACAATTAAGCATAAATTATGGACTATTCGTGGAAGAATTTGTTTGATAGTGCGTGCTCCATGCAGAAGGAATATGACGATGGAGTTTAAATTAGAACTAGATCTTGAACCGTGTTTTGCAAACAACAAAAATATTTTATAATAAAATTTTATTAATAATTAACAAATATTTGTTGATTTGTAAGAATTTATTTGACTCTGATTTAATCCGGTAATCTAATAATTCAGTTTGAATATCCATATTCAAAATATAGTATATATATATAGTTTATGTAATGATTACTATTGAATTATTATGTTAAAATAAACTATGTTCCAATGATGTACCATTATTTATGAAATATAAATAAACTAATTTGTTAGTTTAGTTAATTTGTTATTAATTGAAATGTTTTTGTAGTATATAAATCTGCAAAAAATAAGTTATATTTATTTTTATTGTTTTTAATTTATCTTTCAATTATTTAGTTTAACAAGATAATTTGAAAGAATTTTTTTTTAAAAGATCATTCAAAAATATGATATTTAATGTTTTATATTATTATTGTTTGGACATATATAAAAGTAAGTACATTGTTTTTTTAAATATGGATAATAGTATATAAAAATGAGTATTAGTGATTTAAGATAAATTAACTATAAAATAAAAATATATTTAGTTGAAGAACTTATAAAATAAATATTGGATCCAAATATAGGATTATAATTTAATAAGATTGATAAAGCTCAATATATTTTTAATACATATCGGTTATCGTTGCGTTAGAACACTCCCGATGAAGAGTTTTAGTTCTTGGATTCTAATATATATATATATATATATATATATATATATATATATATATATATATATATATATATATATATATGTGTGTGTTACAAAAAAAAAGATATATATATATGTGTGTGTGTGTGTAATTGTGGGGTTCAAGTTTATGGAAAACTCAACCGAAAGTATATTAGTATAGATATTTTTGATTGAGTTTCCTGTAAATTTGAGGACCTGTAAAGTTATATATATGTGTGTATTTTTAGATATTCAAGATGAGGATATTCCATGGAGGTGCTCTCGGTGAATATGACTCACTCTCATTGGAGTGCTCTTTAGTGAATATGACTCACTTTGTCACAGTGTATCATACTATTATTTGTTCTTGTAAAGCTTCTCGAAGCTTAGTGGCTTTCTTTCGTTTAAAACATTTCTCTTATAGTAAACATGATAATACAAACTTACTGGTCTTCCTGAACGTTACCAAGATGGTTAAGCATTCCATTTTAATTAGTCGATGTTGAACCCTCAACAATAATACAAGACTGAAACTGATAGGTAAGTTAATTTGAAGTTGAACTATTGAACTGATTTCATTAATTGGTTACACTATGTACATCCCATCAAAACTTAAAAAGTATTTTTATCTGTAAATCAATGACATCAACCGTACGAAAACATGAAAATCAAAAGATCTCTTTTGCTCTTGACAATTCTGCCTCTGTGTTCATATTCTTGCATTATGTGAAGTGAATATATATAGACTATAGTAATTAATCTAGTGAAAAAAAAAACTATTAGGTCGAGCTACCTTTATATACTCTAGTGTTGACCGTGTGGTAAAAAGCTTAAAACATTTTTTTTTTGTGGAACGCTTAAAACATATAGTGCGTGATCAGCAGGTCACAGTCTCAACTTTCAACTGATGAAATATTAATACAAACTTTACCTAATTCCACTTAACCCAAAAAGTTACAACATAGACTATTTTTATGTAAACAGTATAGTATATCTCTATAATTTTAATATATTTAACCTGACTGGTTTAACATAGAGGTTGCTGACAATTGTGGTTACAGGGTGCCAAAGAATATTAGTGGTTGTGATTACAAACATTATTAAATATTTTACTTTCCTAATCCAAAACGATCAAGTACATGAAGCTCCTAAAACTAGAAAGTATAAACCGAACCGTCGCGTAGTTTTAACCGTGACTCCATCTCCATCCTCCTCCCCATTTCCTATATAAAGGCTCTGCCACCTTTACTCAACTTCAAACTCACTCAAAGTAAGTTCACATCTTCTTGAGTCTCTTCTTATCAGTTCAATAAAAAAAAAATCTGGAACATGTCGAAAAAGAGAGCTGGTGAAGAAGTTTCGAAAAGATTTCAGAAGTGTCACGGTTTAATTCCCGGTTTACCGTCCGAGTTAGCTATCGAGTGCATGATAAGAGTCCCGTACAAGTTTCAAACAGCTATGAAGTCTGTTTGCACTTCTTGGTGCAACTTACTCTCTGACTCTTCGTTTAGTAGAGAGCGGATGAGATGCGGCAAAGCTGAGCTTCTTCTCTGCTTAGTTCAACCGCTTACGCCGCCAAAACCTAACGCGGTTGAAGAAGGTGAGAAGAAAGAGTTGCTACAGCAGCAACCGCGCGTTTCCGTAACGCCACGGTTTGGGTTAAGCGTTTACAACGCGACTATGTCCACGTGGAACCGCGTCGCGTTTCCCGAGCAGCAGATTCCTCTTTTCTGCGAGTGCGTCGCGGTCCAGGCCTCCGGGAAAGTTCTGCTCATCGGCGGGTGGGACCCGGTGACGTTACAGCCGGTGAAAGACGTCTACGTCCTCGAACTCGCGGGAGAAGGAAGCGGAAGGAGGTGGAGAAAAGGAGCGTCTATGAAGGAACCTCGCTCCTTCTTCGCGTGCGCTCTCGTAGGTTCGACGAAAATCTACGTCGCCGGAGGTCACGACGATCAGAAGAACGCTTTACGTTCAGCGGAAGTGTACGACGTGGTGAGAGACGAGTGGTTGTCTCTTCCTCCGATGACGGAAGGGAGAGACGAGTGTCATGGCTTCGCCATGGGCCCAAAAATAGCCCATTTAGATTTGGACATGAAAGGCCCATGTTCGGCCCATTTAACGGAGCTAGGATTCTGTGTTTTGAGTGGTTATGGAACAGAGTCTCAAGGGAGGTTCCGTTCCGACGGAGAAGTTTACGATCCTGCTACTAACACGTGGTCAAGAGTCGAAAACGTATGGCCGTTTCATGATACTAGCCCTAGAGGCCGCATAACTGGAGATATTAGAGGCTCCTCCTCTAAGTTATGGTGTTTCGTGGACAGCAAGTTACAGTGGGAGACTGAAGATGATTCAGGGAAATGGAAACTTGATCTTGAAAGTGTAAAGCTTCCGGTGACCGGAAGCTTAGTTTACGGAGGGGGTTACGGAGGTGACGCGGTGGTGATGATTGGCGGAGGAGTGATGATGAAGACAGCGACGGAGGAGAGTGTCGGAAAATGGAGTAGTATTGATGACATACCTTTTGGTTTCTCCACTCTTCCTTTCTCACATGCTTCAATCTATGTCTGAAAATTTTAATAGATATGTCTGATGGAAAAACACAAACTGCTTTATGATTAAATTTAAACGTGTTTTTTTTTAAAGTACAGCATTGTCTTTGTTGATAGGAAAATAAATGTAAAAAAATGTTTTTTTTTAATGATTAAAGCAATTGCCAGTCATCTTCTTCACGTTTGTCATCTATACCCTCCACGAACTCGCAGCTGCTGTGGTGGCTAATGAAGCTGTGGGTTTGAGTCACGGTGAACAACGGAGCACCTTTTGATTCCTCAGCTAGTTTCGTTGCTCGGAGACACAAGTCATCGAAGTCACACTTGTCGCGGCAATAGAATCCAAGCGCTAGTGATGGGTCAAGTGACTCCAAAGGAACGTAACGAAGGACACTGATGCAGAGTAAGAATACACTTATGAGAAAACTGGTCCATGGAAAAAGATAGGAGGATTGATGAGAACTTACTTGCAATGATAAGAGGATGTGTCAACATCAATAGTTTCCTTATTCACTGTGACCACCTACATTAATCATCAAAACCGATATGTCTCCATCAGTTAAACCAACATGTGACATGCCATCACATGGATGATTAGTTATAAGGCATAAGATGAAACCTGCTGAACATCATGAGGATCAAGGTAAAAACCATTCTCGTCTTGAACGCCAACTATGTAAGTAGAAGCACCTGGTTTTCCACCCAAAACTCCAAGGCTTTGAGGGAATGTGAACGTAGCTTTGAGAGATGGAATGTACCTGATTATTACCAATGTTGTAAATCAAGACCAAACACAAAAACCGAACAACTTTCACAACTGCAAACCTGGGATTCACTCTGTCAAGACCGAGAACCAATGGGACCAAGAGAAGAAGCGGTGTCCACTCAGCCTCTCCTTTCGAGAATTCTACACAAGATTTGGTCACATCTTCTATACAGAGAACTGGAGCCCCACCTCTCTCCCCATCTTCACTCCCAGAGACAACGTGAATAGCCATAGGAAGCGTCTGGTGTTCTGAATCAGTTTGTTTTCTCTTCTTGCACGCTAATGATTCCCATGACCGACAAATTGCATATGGTCCTACCCATGACCCAGCAGCGAGACCATAAGACTCTCCAACTAGTATAAGATTGTGGATGGAGAAAGCTGAAGCCTCGGAGTCACCAAATGGTTCCAATGTCTCTAAGTACTCCTCCTCAGGCTGCTGCAATTCAGATAAATAGTTGTGAGAATTATACTCTATAGCTAATGACATGCTACAGTGAGCTAACCTCGGATTTCTTGAACCTCCAAGATCTCCCCAGTCTATGGAAAAGCAATGCCTGCAAATACTTGGCTTATTAAATATGTTACAAACTTCAAATCTAAAGCCAAAAGAAAATAGTCTTCCTCACACCTGAGCAAAGAGCATCTGGCTGCTCCGAATCATACAACCCCAGTTCACATCGCTGGTGTAGGTTGTCTCCTTAATCGGTTCAAAACCTGTAATATAACATGATAAATATTAGACAAAAACTTTCTGTTGGCTTGAATTTGTAGTGGAAATATAGTACAAACCTTTACGATATGTCATTAGTATTCTGGAAGAAAAGTCATGTTTCAAAGCCGCCACTAAACTGCCATCATCTGTTTCCTCCGATGCTTCATCCTCAGATAATTTATAAAAGACACCCAAAAGCCATACGTCACTTGTAGTACTCGGAAGACCAATCCTGTTTGGCCCTAAAACACGGTCCTGGAACCTCTTGATTGCACCACTCGCCATAGAGACTTTCTTTACAAAAGCCGTCCAACCATTAGCGCAAACTTGCTTATGCCTCGAAGTTGAAGAAGACTCCCTATACGGTTGAGAATCTGAGGACCACAAGGTAAACTTGGACTTATTATCACTAAGTTCTGAATCTGAAACTAGAGACGTTGAGGGTATATCACTCTTGCTTGATGAAGAACACTGTTGAGGAACAAATCTATCAGTTAAAGCCTTCATTACCTAGACATGAAGCAACAATAGCAACGTGTCCTTCTCATAGAAGCAAACCTAATCCCTGAGAAACCTTATCTGAAACAATTAAGGAATAAAAAGACACCAAACTTAACATCATACATATTACAAGTAGGAGCAAACATTATGTCTTATAAAGAGGGCTTAGGGTTTCATTAGAGACATATAAAGCATAACTTTTGGCATTCAAATTCAACATGCATATCCTCCAAACTGGAGAAATTCTCAGGAAAATCACAAAATACAGAATAAATATCGAGACTTTTAAGACATTTAAAGCAATTGAAACGACCATGTATCAAACAGAATCAAGTCAAAGTTAAAAATTGGCAGAGCTAATCAATCAACTAATCAAGCTTAGGGATTCTCACAACTCTGAATATTTAGCAGGAAGCAAAAGGATCACCTGAGAGATCGATCAAACAATCACCAACAAGGGTGAGAACAAAGAGAAGAAGAAGAAGAAGAGTAAAGCAGATCGGTTTCGTGTTGTATCTTCTTCGCTTACAAGGACAACTAAGGCGAACGTGTGTCTTGTCTTTTTTGGAACAATCTGAGAATCTCTCTCTCTACTTCTTCAAGCTCTTAAAAGAGGATTGGAGTATAAATAAATTATTGATAATCTCTCTTTACTTGTTTTATTTTTTTATATTAGTTTTCACATAATCCAGGTTATCAATTTATCATTATCACTACGAAATTGTAAATAAATTTAAATAAACACTTACGATAAACTTATTTTGGATAAACCTTCTAATATAAAAACAATTATAATAAAGTTTTTCCATTTAGGGTTTCCTAATTCTTTTTGGAATAATATAGTTGCATAATTGCAATAGTATAAAAATAATTAGCAGCACATAAATGTGATTACGACAACAAATAATTAGCAACACATAACGCAACAATATTGCTACTGAATTGGGCTTTTAAAAGCCCATCAAGCCCAATACCATCGGGTCAACAGTCGTGTTTCTAAATTACTGAAATTTACAGTTTTACCATTTTCAGAAGATACGCACTTATCAAAGTTGGTAGTAAATAAAAAAAAAAAAAAACTGCCGCTCAATCTTCTTTATTAGTCTTCTTCTTCTCTCTCAGATCCACCATCGATAATTCCTCTGCTTCTTCTTCGTTCAACTTCAACTTCGTTCGAAATTTCGAATCTTTCAATAACAGGAAGAAGCAGCCATTGGCTTTACTCAAATCTCTGGCTATGCCTGCCTCGAAGAAGGTTCGTTGGTTCGAAAAGAATCTCCTTTCTTCTTGCACTTTTTTTACTTTTTAAGTCATAAATGTCTGAAATTTTTGCTTAGAGTTCCGACAAGAACCAAATAGGACAAGTGTTCAACAAGTTGTTGAAGAATATTGGAGAAGCAGAGGAGTTCGAGTTGCCTGATTGGTTGAACAAAGGGAAACCAACTCCTTACATCTTCATCAAGCGCAGTATCCTTTTCTCTTAAACTCAATCTTAAAAATTCAATTTTGGTTTTGGATTTGACTTTGTTTTGTAGCCTTTAGCTAGTTTTAAAAAGATATATACTTGACGAAGAAACTCAAGAAGAGAGTTGAGGATGATGGAATATTCTGTTCTTGTTCCTTGTCTTCTGACTCTTCTTCTTCAACTGTTTGTGGTAGTAATTGCCATTGTGGGTATGCCCTCAGTTTCTTGAGCTATGTAAAGAGCATTTTACACCTTTATGGTTAAGTGGATTTAATCTTTTTTTTTTGTGTAGGATGCTATTCTCAAGCTGTTCTTCTAGTTGCAAGTGTGGGGATGAGTGTAACAATAAGCCGTTCCAGCACCGTTATGTCAAGAAGTTGAAGTTGATTCAGGTAATTTTATGAATAGTTCCTTAGGATTAAAGGCTTTTGTTGTTGTTGGTTTGTTTAATATCAGTTGTTTCTTGTAGACTGAAAAGTGCGGATCAGGGATTGTAGCAGAAGAAGAGATTGAGCAAGGAGAGTTTATCATTGAATATGTAGGAGAAGGTAATAATGTGATGCCTCTTTGATGATGAATTTATTGCAACCTGTTTTGTTGAAACTGTCTTCTCTTTCTTCAAATCTTTGGCTGGATATAGTTATAGATGATAAGACTTGTGAAGAGAGGCTTTGGAAGATGAAACACCGTGGAGAGACGAATTTTTATTTGTGTGAGATAAACAGAGATATGGTGATTGATGCCACTCATAAGGGGAATAAATCTAGATACATCAACCATAGTTGCAACCCTAATACGCAGATGCAGAAATGGTTTGTTTCTTATCAACTTCATTGCTTATTGTTTTATGCTTTTGTACATTTGAGTTAAGTTACTCATCATTTGGTTATTCTATTACTTGCTATTAGGATCATTGATGGCGAGACAAGAATAGGCATTTTTGCAACCTGTGACATTAAAAAGGGAGAGCATTTGACTTATGACTATCAGTAAGTTCATAGATTATGTTTTCTATAGTTGATTGGATGAAATTAGAATTTCATAAATTTTCTAGTTCATATAACCTTTTTTGAGTTGTGACACTAATGCACTAGAGCAGGTTTGTTCAGTTTGGTGCAGATCAAGACTGTCATTGTGGAGCCACGGGTTGCAGAAGGAAGCTTGGGGTGAAACCAAACAAACCTAAATTACCCTCGGATGAAGCTCTTAATGTAGTGCTATGTGAAGTGACCCAGACACAGCCCAAGGTATATATAGATCTTGTCTTTGCCAGTGGAATAGTTTAAGTCACTGACATTTTGTGTGTTATGAGGTCTAGAGACTTAATCTTTCTTACTTTTTGGTTAGGTGCATCAGAATGGAGCTATACATGAACATGAAGGTAAGTATTGATTTTTTTTTGTTTGTTTGTTTCTGCATTATTTGCTAGAGTAACTTAGTCTGTTTTGGGTTCCCACGTTTCTCCAGGAAAGTCATGGAACAAGCTTACTCAAGGGCAGCCATGTCCTCGCAACTGCATAGGTGTGGTAGTCAGGTTATCTCGCCCCACGAGTGATAGGTATAGTTGACTTGCTATTGACTTTCAGATTAGTTTACTGACTCATGCTTTGTTTTTTTCTAATAGATTAGTGAGATTGTTTTTTTTTCAGGTGTTTTGGCATCATTAGAAGGTTTGATGAGTTTACAAGAAAGCACTCGGTATGTTTCCACCAAAGCCAATAATTGTTCACCTTTAGCAAACGCATTCTTAAGATAAGATAATTTTTAAAACTTGGTCCAGGTGATGTTTGAGGATGGTGTTACTGAGTTTATCGACATGTCCAAAGAAGAAGATTGGGAGATTTTATCTGACTAATAGTGTTTTTAAGGTGATTTAATATCTCTTTGGTTGATTTCTGTCTGACAACATAAGAATTACCAGTAGCATGGAGTATTTAAATAGTCTTTTACAGACGGGTTTCTTCTCTGCAGATTTTCTTTGGAGTAAAAAGTTGAGAAATCAGAACAAATCTGTCAGCCTTTTAAGTTTGATTTGGGATTGGTGCAGTGACATTGTTGTTGCATCTAACTTAACCTGTGTCATACCAGAATGTAATATTATACATAACCATATTTGTAACTTCTTCTCATTCCTTATTTTTCGTCGGCATCTCAAAGATGATCATGACGATGGCTTCCAAGAAACTTTGTGGTGTATGTATGACATTGTTGTCTGTACTTTACTGTTGTTGTAATCAAAGACTGCTCTACCTTCTTATGTTTCTTGCCTTCAAATACATCCGTTTGATAAAAATCTCAAAAACTGTATACAATTAATGTGAAAGTCTGTGAGGGTTTAACAACCAGTAATGGAGTATTAGACCTGCTAATAGTTAGCACGTGCAGCAAAAGCTATTTTCGTGCAACTGTGTCGGCGCCGACAGAAACCAAAGTTAAGACGGTTTGAAAAATCCAACCAGTTTCATTTCAGATTGAAACCGTATAAGACTTGCTTGCGTGGTAGGTGGTGAAGTGAGTGGTTCTACCTCTACCAACACCAACTTAAAAGCAGGGGTTGGCGAAAGACAGTGACACTTTTACAGTACTAAAATAAACTCATCTTTGTCTGATTAAAAGTCAGTAAATCACACCTAACTTCTTGGGATCATTTCTGTTACTATAAAGCAGTGAGCAACACAAGAACAAGAACCTGCGACCACTTTTGTCTGAGCAGAGCAGAAGATCATGAAGGTGATAGACAAGATCCAGTCCCTAGCCAATGAAGGCAAAACAGCCTTCTCCTTCGAGTTCTTCCCTCCCAAGACAGACGAGGGAGTAGACAACCTCTTCGAGCGTATGGACCGTATGGTCGCTTACGGTCCCACTTTCTGCGACATCACTTGGGGAGCTGGTGGATCTACTGCTGATCTCACGCTTGACATAGCTTCCAGGATGCAGAACGTTGTCTGTGTTGAGAGCATGATGCATCTCACCTGCACTAACATGCCTGTGGAGAAGATAGACCACGCGCTTGAGACTATTAAGGGTAATGGGATTCAGAATGTTCTTGCTCTTAGAGGTGATCCTCCTCATGGTCATGATAAGTTCGTGAAAGTTGAAGGAGGGTTTGGTTGTGCTTTGGATCTTGTGAATCATGTTAGGAGTAAGTATGGTGATTACTTTGGGATCACTGTTGCTGGTTATCCTGGTATGATCACACCCTCTCACTCTCATCTTTGTGTGATTGATATGTGTTGAGCTAAAAGATTGGATCTTTGAATACAGAGGCGCATCCTGATGTTATTGGTGAGAA